TGCCTTTTTTTTCTCCAATTTTATAAGATTGTTTGAGTTTATTTATTTAAGTGTCATGCACAAAAGTGCCCAGCCCACATGGGCTTATATGACACTGAACAACAACATCTGATGGCTACAGACCATATACAGACATGAAAAACAGAAAAAGATTTACAATTTGGTGCATTATCCAGGGTACAGAATCTGTTGTCTCCTCTCCCAGGCTTTAGCAACAAAAGAAGCAAAGGCAAAAACTTCATGGCAATACATACAGTTCATAATTTCTCCCTCAGGCCACCAAAAAACCTCTGGGTTAGAAGCATTCACTTTTTCAAATAAAATGTTTCGATATTCAAAGTAAAGTGGACAATACAAAACAAAATGATTAAATTATTTATAATTTCTTTGCATCATGAGCCAAAGCAAACTCCTAGTTTGTGACTCTGTTACTTACAATGACAATAAAAAAGGTATTCAAATGTTGATGCACGTCTTGTTTTTTTGCAAATACTTTCCCTTATATATCTTTTATACAGTTCCATATTCACAAAGATAAGTTTAATACTGTACACTCAAGGACGACTAAAGATAGTGGCCTTCATCTTTGACAATAAACACAATAATGCATTCAGTGTTGTTGCAATATGTTTGAGAAGGCCACAGTTGCTTGGAGTAAAACAGAACATTCAACAACTCTAAAGCTGGGGTACCTGACTTTAAACCACAAATGAACTACAGTATGTCTTAAAATCCATCAGCTCTCAGCCCAAAGTGTCAAACAGTGACTCAGAGAGCGTTTTGTGAAATATGTAAAGGATGGAAAAAATCCCATAAGAAAAAGCAAGTTTTTTCCTTTCTTTTTTTTGACTTCTTATACTACTTTTTTACTTTTACAAGACTATTTCTGTTGGGACAAACAAAATGTATTATGGTGCTTTCAGACCGGATCATGCGTTGCGTCGGCTTTCAATGCAAAGTCTATGGTGACGAGCGTTCGAGCGTCACAACGCACGGACCTCTCGGCACGAACGGACAGTCAAAGGGGAGGAGCAGGAACGAAAAATCGACGCCCACAGGAGATGGATTCTGCTCATCCTTTCCTTGGGACGTTCAAAGTCCCAGTGCAAAGTGGTCACGGGGACATTAGCGGACTGAGCGAGCAGACTGAAAACACTCGTAAACAGCCAAAAACAGGACCCACACCAGGCTTCACCAGAACTCAAACCAGGGTTGACAATGGGGGACTCTGTGCTTGTGAAAATATGCGTTGTTATGCTCCCGTGACCTTATGCAACAACTTCGAGTGTGTTCGCCGATGCGGAAATACTGTTTAATAATATGAAAAAACGTATGGCGCACCTCCGTGAACACATACTACTGTTATATAAAGCCCGTGGAATGTCTGTGAGCAAAGACACGCTGCAAAGCTGCATATTGGAGAAGATCTGTACACAAGAAGCCGCTAGCATAGCTCTGTTAGCATCAGAGCCGGCCGGCTACTTCCGGTACTTCCGGCTCGCGTCAGGACGTTCTGGTGTGAAGACCCGTGCGTCTTCACACCAGAATGCGCGTCTGGTGAGCGGGGCTTCAGCGTTTCAGCGTTGGCGGTCTGAAAGCACCATTAGTGATGGGGAAAATCTATTGGTACTTCACCTTTAACTAAATCTTAACTAAGAGCTGGCTGAGAATGAAAAACATATTCTAAACGTGAACATACATAGGCAAGGCAAGGCAAGTTTATTTATATAGCACAATTCATACACAAGGCAATTCAAAGTGCTGAACAAAACAAGAAAGCATTAAAATCATAAATTATCACAGAACATTAAAAAGAAAGATAAAAATATAAAATCCCTCAGTTGTATGCACAGTTAAACAGAACTGTTTTTTCAACCTGGTTTTAAACATTGTCAGAGAGGAGGCCTGTCTCACATCTTCAGGAAGATTGTTCCAGATTTTAGCAGCATGAATCTGAAAAGCAGCCTCCCCATGTTTAGTTCTGACTCTGGGCACTAACAGGAGTCCAGTCCCTGTGCTCCTCAGAGTCCGGGCTGGTTCATATGGGACTAACATGTCACTGATATATTTTGGTGCGAGGCTATGGAGAGACTTGTACACAAGCAGAGCTGTTTTGAAGTCTATTCTCTGAGCCACAGGAAGCCAGTGCAGAGACCTGAGGACTGGACTAATATGGTCATACTTCCTGGTTCTAGTCAGGACTCGAGCTGCTGCATTTTGAATGTACTGCAGCTGTTTTACAGCCTGTTTGGACAGACCTGTGAGCAGGCCATTGCAGTAGTCTAACCTACTGGAGACAAATGCATGGATAAGAATCTCCAGGTCTGCTTTAGACACTATGTTTTTGATCCTGGCAATGTTTTTTAGATGGTAAAAAGCTGCTGATGTTACTGATTTGATGTGGCTATTAAAATGTAAGTCTGAGTCCAGTATTACCCCTAGATTTCTGACCTTGTTTGAAGGTTTTAGGGAGAGAGACTGTAGGTGACAATCATTTCAGTTTTGTCTGCGTTTAGCTGAAGGAAGTTGTTTTGCATCCACTCACTGATCTGTTGGATACAGTGAAGGAGTGAGTCCACTGGTCCATGTTCTCCTGCAGTCAGTGAGACATAGATCTGAGTGTCGTCTGCATAGTTATGATAGGAAACTTTGTTTCTGCGTATTAACTGACCTAACGGCAGCATGTAGAGATTGAACAGAAGAGGTCCCAGGATCGACCCCTGTGGGACTCCACAGGTCAGGGCCATATGATCTGAGACACAGTTTCCAATCTCCACAAAGTACTTCCTGTCTTCAAGGTAAGACCCAAACCAACTGAGGGCGGTGCCAGTGACGCCAACCCAGTCCTCTAGTCTCTGTAAGAGGATCTCATGGTCGACGGTGTCAAAGGCACATATACTTGTTTGAAATAGAATAGTATATTTTTAGATAGATAGATATAGTTGGCTGGATGTTTCCAGAGACGGCACATGGCACACTTAATTGTGGTGTCCCCGACTTCTATATTATAAATGGTATATTTTTCCTCAATAGAGAAAGTGAAATTGTCTTTCTGAGGAAAAAAATCATACATGTATTTTTAATTATTGCTAACTTGTAAGAAAGATTAAGACTGAGATATACTTTATTTGTCCCACAGTGGGGAAAAATCAGTGTCGCATCATCAGGTACAAAACTGTAGGAATGAGGAGCACACAGCACAAGATACATGAACAACTCTATGCTAAAATAAAAAATAAAACATCTCTAACTAGCACAAAAAGAAGCAGTATAAAATCACGATCTTTGGCATAACAAGGAAAGAAGTCTAAAAATCTCCAACTTCAGCACGATGAAGAAGCAAGACTAAAGTACAAAAATCCCTGACTTTGGCATAATAAGGAACACGTATAAAACGGGAGTCAAAGAGAGCTCCAATATGGTGCTTTGGGCTGAGAGCTGATTGGCTGAGGCAAGGTGGTTGTCCCGACTTCTCTGCATGAAAAAGTGGTTCTAAAGATGGAAAAAGGCAACAAATCCTACATATATAAATAATCATGCATATATGATCAAACGAAGACTTTATGTAATGTATGTATTTCTGTAAAATCAGGGACCCCTAGCTTGGAGACGTTTTTGATTGTTTTTCAAGCTGTATATGCTAAACTCACACACTTTTCTCACAGCTGAACGATAAGAAAACATTGGTGTATCCCAAGATAAGGCCGGTACATTCCTGGAGTATTTAAAAAGCACATAAGTAGTGGTCCCTCCCTCTGAACAAAGACATATCCTCCACATGTGACAGCTGCAGCTCCACATCCTCTGTCCCGCTGCAGAGGAAGCAGAGCTCAAAGCACTTCTGTCCCACAAACCACCAGCAGGACCAGGACGCAGCCAATCACTGGGCTGGGACTGCTGCTCCGACCCCTGTCCGGCTTCAGGTAAGGAGTTTGAGATTGTACGGGGTAGAATTTCAATGTTTTGGTGCGTTGTGTGTAAGCCTGGTTCAACTGATGATGACATATAAGGTAATACATGTGAACTGTGTTTTTCACCTTGATTTTGGTACTTTTTATACATGTGGTCTGTTATGTGGGGATTCATAGAAAAGCGGTAGTCTTTGAAAGAAAAAAAATAGAGGAAAAATGTAGATCACAAGCAACAACAACAAAAACAAAGACATTTTTATTTATAAGGCATATTTCACAAACAAAAGGGTTTCCAAAGTGCGGCACAGGAGTCGTCAGGAAAGAAATAAAAGACACAAGCAGCAGACAACACCAATAAAGCCAATCTGACTTCACAAGTTTAAAACAATAAAATCAACTAAGAACAACGAAAATGATTGAATATAATCTAGACTTTAAAAAATCATACAATATTAAAATACAGAGGACCGCACAACTCTCATGGTGTTAACAGCCATAATCTGCAGTACTGTGACCTCTCTCTTTACGCATGATAATAATAGTACAACAAAAATACAGTCATTCCTGGAGTGAACCAAATTTCGGTTGCTTGGGGGATAGAACTGGACACTTTGCAGGGTTTCAACAGGTCTTAAACAGGATCCAACTTTATATTAAAAGTGAAATCTTCAACCAAACCAGGTCAAAAATTTCAAAAGTTTTCTAACAGCAGTCACAAACAAACAGAGACTAAACAGTCATTTACTCATTTAATGATAGAGAGCATAACTATATCTGGCCTGGGCACAAATGCTGATCTATAATAGTTATGAAATTGCAAATGATTTAGAATAAAAAGTGGTTTGAACGAGATCAGAACTATAAACAAGAGCCTGTGTCTGTCAAAGGGCGGGAATGAGCCCTATTCACAGCATCATGAATCTGCTTATACATAACTCACAGTTTTTTCTTTCACTTAGGACTTGGAACTACTTCACACCAGATAAAGGAGGATTACTCATTGACAGCAGCAGCAACAGCAGCAGCAGCAGTAGAAGAACAAGGGGAGTTTGAAAAGCATTGATCTGTGAAGAGGAGGAAGTCGCCACGATGATGGAGCTCACGATTCAGCTGATCCCGACCGGAGAGATCATCCTGGCTCCGGGGAAGAACGGGGAAAACTACTGCCACAACTGCAAGGTCAGCGTCAAAACATAACACCTACTGTCTATAATATCACATGGCTCAAATAGCAGTGATATCAATACACTTTGGGTTGCAAAAGTAAAAACATGAAAAAAGTTGAAGTTGGAACTGCCACAATTCTTACACTGCAAAAAGTTATTTCAATTTCGATTTTCCAAACCACAAAATATTTTAATCTTTTTAATTCAATACTTGGTTGGGCCTTCCTTCCCTTGCATGAACACATTTTTTTTTCATGATTTTTGAACTTGTTGACATAAAGTATTACCTTTGCAGATGCGGTAATGTACTTATAGTCGCTTGCTTAAATGCAGCTGAAATTATCAATTTTAATCGTTATAATGCAAACTACATCCAGAGCTATTTCTGTTAATTATCTTTGTAATATTATTTTTGTACATAACAGACTTCACACTTAGTTAGAAAACCATACTTACTCTTACGGACTTAAAGTTAAAGCTCTCTCATAAATGACACACAAACAGAAACAGAAAGAGTCTTGTAAAACTGTCATTTTGACCACGACACCATGTGGTTGTCTCCATCTTCACAGAAAACAGTTATTTTTTATTTTTATGCAAACTTTTATGTAAGATCATCCCTGTGAGTCAGTGTTCGACAATTTGGGCTGAGAAAGGCCTTTTCTCTTTTTTTTTACTTTGTCCAAAGAAAGATTTGACAAAGGCCAAACATACAGTATGCATAAAAACTAGTGATAAAACTGTGTGAGGATATAGTTAGTTTTTAGTCCCTAATTTCTACCAAAGCTTTAACCAAAAAGATGATTCCCATGTTTAGGAAGGTATTTGGCCGTGTTTCAGACCTGGTTCTGAATTGGAACCAGTGGGAAACAGGACCTTGCACACAGGGAAACGTCTGAAGTCGATGCATATTTGACATAACACAACATTACATGACGATAAGAGTTTGGATGGACAGAGACATGCCCTGCCTTCTCCGCAGCTGCTGCTCTCTGACGCCAGACAGATGGAGCGAAGAGCTGACGAACAGAATTTCAGGAATGGCACGAAAGCAGCACATTGTCTGATATGAAAACATGTCATTAATCAGAGCGGGGAGAAAACAGAACGCTCTAATGTTTTCTTTTCATGACTGGAGCTATATGCTAGCTTTACCACTGCCAATTTTAGACACATAACAGAAGGTAAAGGTACAATATAGCTCAACTCTTCCCATATTCGTAAATAAAAATGGATGTCTAACACTTAAACTAATGACTAAGCTGTTGATATTTGCTTTTAGCACAAAATATGAAGTTATGTTATGTATGTACCTTGAGATTCTAGAAAAAAAAATCTGTTTCAAAATCCACTCACTCCGAAAAATATCGTCTCACTATCACTTATAAGGCTAGTAAAGTGTTTCATAATTGCAATAATAAAAACAATAATAATACTACTTCGGTTTTATATAGCACTTTTTTGGATGCTCAAAGAGGATGTCATTATTCATTCACTCCCTACACGGTGATGATACACTCACTGTAGCCACAGCTGCCCTGGGGCACACCGACAGAAGCGAGGAAACCAGTATGTGCCATCGGTCCCTCCAACCATGACCAACCATTCACACACACACCAGACTCATTCTATGAAATGTGGGTGAATTGTCTTGCCTCAGGACAGGACAGTTTGGCACTTTACAGCCGCAGCCGCCCCACTGTTTTGCCCAAAGCCTGTGACTTGTATTGGTATCATTATTATTTATATCTTTAATCAGTGCTTAGAGCTAGAGCCACAACTGGCAACAACTTGGAGTGTTATTAGTAATTCACTGCAAAAAGTGATAAATAAAATGGAATAAAAGAAAACCATCAACACCCTCAGATACCTATTCAATACACAAAAAGTGATTTCGCACATGGACGCACACACACACACACACACACACACACACGCACATACACGCACATGCGCACACTGAACCCCCTTCCCCCCTGATCCTATGTAAATGCTTGTATGCTTGTGTTGTATTTGTATGGACGAGCTCCTGAAAAGGTAGTGACGTTCACATGTACAAATGTGTTTGAATGTCCGTGCTATAATATATTGTGTATGCCAAAACATTTTTTTTATAAATAACTCAAAAATTGCAAAAATTTTGCAAACTGTGTCTTAATATGAGCACATTCTGACTGAATTAAAACAAGATTTGCCAATGAGACAAACAACATAATTTTTTTGTTTTAAAAAGATAAGGCAAGGCAAGGCAAGTTTATTTATATAGCACAATTCATACACAAGGCAATTCAAAGTGCTGAACAAAACAAGAAAGCATTAAAATCATAAATTATCACAGAACATTAAAAAGAAAAATAGAAATATAAAATCCCTCAGTTGTATGCACAGTTAAACAGAACTGTCTTTAACCTGGTTTTAAACATTGTCAGAGAGGAGGCCTGTCTCACATAGATACAAATGTCTCCCTTGGAACGAGAAAATAAAGCAACAGTTCTTGAAATGAGACTAAATGGCTTTGTGTAATCTGCAATTTTTGTTTTAAAACAGTCAAAAATTAAGATGAAAACCATTTGATACTAACAATTACTACCTCATATTGTATTATTTTTTGCAGTGTGACTCAGATCAGACCACTTCGGCCTCTCAACAATGTCTATCTTTTTAAAAATTCTTTGTGGTTGCCTTTAGACCAGTTTTATCTCCCTTCTCGGGGCGTGGCATGATAGTGGGCCGAGCCGGTTGTCCGTACACGTCCTGTTGTGTGGTTTTGTCAGTGATGCTCGATTCAGGAATGCTACTGGTCCAATGGGAGGAAGATTCTGCCGTTTGTTCCTTTCCCACATTCCTCCAAGGTCATGAAGGCCCCGTCTGTGTGTGTGCTTGGTGTGTGTGTCTGTGTGTGTGTGTGTCAGTGTGTGCGTTGTAGAAAGCAGACTCAGGATTTCCAAAGGTCTTTCAGTCGACAACAAACCTGGCCCTGTGCCCAATCATTGTGTTGGGCCATCAGTGCGTTTTACTACTTCCATCTCAGAGGTCGTGTTATTTCCACACCAGATTGGCTCATTGTTAATTGGTCATACTTTGTTGGAAAGTCTCAAAGTAAGTTTCATTTGTCGCCGTCCGGACCAAGTTTCCAGAAGCGATTTCCCGACCTGAACTAGAGCTGGATGTTTTTTGCGCTCAGACCAACATGACTATCGCAACAATATAATCAGTTAGGTCTGACTTGATGCACTAGAACATTATAAGATAAACTCTGGATTGGAGTGTAAATTTTGAGTCAGATAATCTCACCAGTGACTCTAACACACCTGCATAAGAACTGTGCAAGGCTTCAGCTCACACACTTGGGCCAATTAGATTGATGACAGAATTTAGTCTAGGTGAATTGTATTTGCATTCATAGAAACTCAATACAAAAAGCAAATTCTGCAATACAATACTTGCATTTTAGCCAATATGCCAGAGTCAAGCCTTGTTTCTGTGGGAGCGGATCCCTCTCTCGGTGTGGGCTTCCCCGAGGTTTCTCACTTTTCCCACTGGGTTTGGAGTTTTCCTTGCAGATGCAGAATTGTCTGTTAGAGCTTTCTCAGATCTAACTAAAAGGACAGTGGTGATGATCCAGAATATTCATGGCCTTACTTTGGCCCCTACTCTACTGTCCTCTTCTTTAGCCTGATTGGGAGTGTTTCCATCGGCCCTCCTTAACTGGCACCAGGCACTTTTTTAGTACCTATAGGCCCTGGTTCTAACATGGGCGAGCTGACTCTATTCGGGGCCGAGCTGGTACTAAAGTGTTGTACCTGCCCGTGGTTGGCCAGAGTGCTGCAAGGAACTTCCCTGAATATTAGTTTGCTATGGCTAGGTTGCCAGGTTACGATACCATAGATCAGGGGTGGCCAACCAGTCAGAGACTAAGAGCCAATTTTTTTTACTGTGTTACAGCAAAGAGCCACATCATACAAATGTGCACTACATAAACATCACCCCAACCCTTACACACGCACGCACACGCGCACGTACTGTACGCACACGAGCAGACACGCGCACACACATGCAATCTGTCTGAGCAGAGAGAGGTGTGCTCTGCTCAGACAGATGTATTGTAAATGTCATCAACATGATAATGACAGAAATGGACTCGTACAGTACTAAAGGGCTGGACTCGACTCTCCCCGGTTTGCAGGCGCTTCCACCGCTCGCTTTAGCCGCTCCCCGGTACTTTTTATTAATGGTTTGGCCCTGGTTCTAACCGGGCGAGTCGATACCAGAACAATTTCACGTCAGCGAACATCAATTATGATTCCGAAATGAATGCTTTCAATCTCTAACCAAGAAAAAAAAATCAAGTTTCAACCCAGTGTTCAGCAGAAACACAACTGTCTTTAGTAAAAGATATAGATTTGACACATAACACCAACACCACTTTAGCTGATTTAGAACCACAGACACATGCTCAGTATAAGACCAGATACTTTTGCATTTGATTGAAGACAGACACTCACCAGGCAGAGTTGGCTTATCTCCTGGTGTAATGCTAGTTGTTGTTAGCTGGTTTTAGCATGTTAGCCGGTGTTAGCCGATGTCCGTAAATGTAATCCATTTGGTCAAACCACCTCCAGACTTTTCGGGTCTGCCTCTACTTCTGCTGCTGCGATCTTTCATTTCACGGTTGTCACTTTTAAGCTTTTTAACTTTTCTCTGCATTGTCATGTTTGTGGGAATCATTCTGCTCCGTCCTTAGTGCTAGCTCCACAAACACCTTCTGGTTTCTGGTGGAACCAGCGAGATCAGGCTGGTGTCCTCTCCTCAAACTGAGGAAGGTGTTGCCCTCATCCAGCGACCAAGGAATTGTTTTCCGTACGGACGTCATGGTTCGAGGCAACATGTTGTTTGTTATGATATTTGCTACAGCTGCAGAGTGATTGACAGCGCATCTGACCAACCAGAATTGACGTTCGCCGACGTCAGATTGTTTTGGTGGCCTGGCTAGTGGAGTGAAGTCGGCCTTTACTATTGGTCAGAACTACATATGGAATGAAAGGCAGCGCCACCACCGAGGCGTTTTTGACGCTTGTCGAGTGAAAGCCCGAGAGCCGCACGGAACCAGCCAAAGAGCCGCATGCGGCTCACGAGCCGCGGGTTGGCCACCCCTGCCATAGATAGACTGCAGCGTAATGGAAACACAACCAGGTAGAGTGGACCCGAGTAGAGTAGGGCCAAGTAGGGCTGGTGGAAACGAGGCTAAATGGTATATAGAAGGATTTACTGCCCTCTCCACTAAAAAAAAAAAACCCTCTGGTCTTATTTGATTGACATTTAGAAGGAGCAATAGTCTTGATGATCCACCTGGAAGTAGAAAATCCTCCTATTTACCCCTTTAAATTTAATTGTATAGTTCAAAATGGGAAAAAAGGAGGTTACATAACTGCTTCAACCATCCATTATCACTTTGTAGAAAAACGTCCTTTTGTGATCTTGAAGTGGTCGGGCAGAGACAGAGGAGGGTGATTTGTCTCTTTTCCTGCCGTTGAAGTGTTTTTTGGTTGGAAGGAGTGCGGAGGGCGGCGGAGGCTATCACTGTCAGAGCTGCCTTTCCGCTTTGTGTCAAACTCCGCTCCGTCAACAGGATACCAGCTCCCTGTGCGCCAACAATGTCCAAGCACCTCTCGCAAAAGCTTATCTCACTAAATATATACACGTAGGATAAGCCATTATTAGAGTCAAAAGGTAAAATGTTTAAAGCCTATTTTATTCAGTGGATAAATCCATCCATCAATCAACCACATCTTTGTTTGTATAGAACGCATTTAAAACTTACCAACGTGATGTACAGTCAGTAAAAAGCAGCACATTAAAAACACATCAAAATACAGAAATATATTTACACATAAAAACTTGTCTCTTTTTGCCTGAAATTAAAAGGCAAAGAAAAAATGTGCTTCTTAATGGATTTCAATGTATTAACTTTGACTGCCAGCCGTTTTTGTTGATTTCACTGATTCTCAAGACCCACAGAATATTGATTCCTAAGACTATGTGAAATATGAAACCAGATTCTGAAAAACTGGATTGTCTGCTTTCATCAGCAACAATAAGTTTGTTTCTTGCTATTTTTATTGTGCTGTGATCCCCAGTGGAACAGAGGGTCTCTCAAATACTTCAATGGCAGTCAATGAGTAATGTGTAACTGATGAAAATTTTGAGTAGTTACAGTTTTGTATTGAGAATCTACATCTTTAAAAGCCGGGGAACCTGACTTTTTTCTTCCCGTTGATAATGTATTGTGTTTGTCTCGATCAAAAGAGAAAGTAAAATGGACTGTCTGGAATATGCGGCCTTTATCTTATTAGAAAACATTTTATCTTTTGTATAAGATAGAGCCCTGAGAGTCACTGTTTAACACTTTGGCTGAGAGCTGATTGGCTGAGTCAGGCTGGTGCTTTCTTTTCTCTTTTCCGTCTGGAAACGTGACAGAGGTCAAAAATACATGCATGTGAAAACTGTAAGGTTCCTGGGTTTGAACCCCTATCGGAACAGGGCATTTCTGAGTGGCATTTGCATGTTCTCCCTGTGTATGCTTGGTTTCCTCTTGTTGCAACGGTTTCTCTGACCACTAAAAACATGTACAAAAGACCCTAGTGGCTTTGAAAGATGGTACAAATGCAAAGGACACATTTCCAAACGGGGACAATAACGTATACCTTTAACTTAACATAGTATTAGAACCAAACTGAGGCCTGGGGACTATAGTTACAGAGATTTTCGTACAGTTTTTGTCAGTTGAAAGTTAGGTACCCCAGCTTTAATTAAACCAAAAGATTAGTTTAGTTTCATTCTCACTCCAGACTGCTCTGTAACGATGAGGAAAATAGAAAACATAATCATTCTTCTGTCTCTAATTACTGATGACAAACAGTGCAGAAAACACAAAGCTGTTTTTAATTCGTTGTTGCTTAAAACAACAGACAACTCAAGGTTCAATAGTTTAAGAATTCAAATGACTATTGTGCCATGTTGACATACAATACACTTTACAAATACACTTACAGACTACTTTAATGCAGATATGAGTTCTATAGAGAAATGTTGTGTGCTACATGGACAATCTGATATCACCAAGAAATCAACAGATCAATGCTTCATCGGGTGTTAGGGGTCAGAGGGTAGGGTTAAGGTAAAGGTTAGGGAAAGGGTTCACTAGGGTTAGGGTTATGACTAGGGTGAGGTTTAGGGTTAAGAATGGGGTAAATGTTAGGGTTACGAGGCCAGGATCAACTTTTACTATGGATTATTAATTGCATGGAGATATTATACTGCGCGTTCTTCCCATCAGTGTGTGTGTGTGTGTACGAGTTGTCCATGAAATGCATCTTGAATGGTTGGATAAATGTATATCAGGGTTGCTTCTTCATCATGTTAAAGCTGGAGATTTTTAGACTTTTTTATGCTAGAGTCAGAGATTATATTTTATTCTAGTAAAGAGTAGTTATTAATTTATCTTGTGCTGTGTGCTCCTCATTCCTATTGTTATCTAACTTGTGATGCAACACTGACATTTCCCCACTGTGGCACGTTTAAATGATCTCTCAATCTTAATATAAATAAAAAGTAGAGGTAGAAAGATGAAATTATCTATAAACACAAACTCAAACCTTTTCCCATGTGAGCCCTTGCATTAACACATGGTCTCAGTGCATAAGAGCAACAGTAACAACATTGTGAGCAGGAGATGACAGACCAGACAATCAGGGGTTGACTCGCTACCGCCCCCCTTTGGTAATACATCCGCACTACACCTCTGCTCTTCTGTGACCCAGCTGCTGAAAGGTCACCTTCACTGGACTCTGCACATGTTGCATAAGGAGTTTATAAACAGATCATCTGAGACAGCGTTGCAAAGCTGAAGAGGAGTGTGATGAAAGACATTACAGGTGCACAAACAATAGTCTACTCATGTTTGTGCATTCGATTAAATTCTGTTAAGTTTCCTGCATAGGTTGTTATCTACAGACTGTACGGACATGGGCAACTCTCACATATTATCTCTGTTTTAGTGACTGCAAAATCAATCAATAACTTATGAGCACAGACTTAGCCGCAGTGACCTTCAACTGCATTTGAAGCAAAATCCATTACAGCTTATGAGACCACTTTCATTTTTCACCTCTAAGTAATTTTGCCACTATAGAATGCAGAACAAGCAAAAGCAATAATTACATAAATATTGTCCTAAAGCTTAGTGTCTGACAACATATATCTCTGCACGTTTCTTATGCGTTGGCTTTATATCCTTCTCTCAAAACAATCACTTGACACCGTTATTCAATTTGATATTTATCTTCGACGCATGTGCGAAGTTCTGCTGCGCTGGCGTTCAAGGAAACTCCCTGACCTTACTGTAAGCTATTTATTGAAGCGTGCGCGTCCCAATGACGTGTGCATATGAACTTAATTATTTTTAACTGTAATGGCAGATTTTACCAGTAGAGGGAGCCAGAGCGCAGAGAAATGAGCTGAGAAATATTGAGAACTTTGCTTTTAATGTTTTACTACTTCAAACGTAAATATAATAGACATTTACAAGGGCTATCTGTATTGGATAGAGGAGTAAAGATAAAGGACTGGGGTTAGAACAATTATTCAAAGAAATGACCAAATGTCTGGCTTTTTCTTTCTCTCATTTCCCATCGAGTCACCCCACTGTCATTGAACCTGTTTTAATCCATCTTTTTAGAATGGATGTAAGAAAAACTAACCTTGTTTTTGTCTTGTTGTGTTCTTTGTACAATCCTATTCCATTGCTGTTGCTGAGTGAGTAGCAATAGCAAACTCCCCCCCACCACAAACTTAAAGGTCTTGTGTGGAGTGCTTTCTTCGGCCAATAGACATTTGTATAACACGTTAAACCCGCAGTTTAAGTGTTTGGAGTGAAAACAAGCACACGCAGCGCACTTTACGTCTAAAATAAATGCCTCCATCTGTCATTACGCACATGTGGGATGGGGCTTTGACTTCCTGATATGGCAGTGGATGGCTTTTAAAGAAGAAGTGATGAAAACGTTACAACACAGCAGCAAATAAGAGGAAGACACGCAAGTAAAACGTGTCAAATTTGCCCTGAAGAGAATTAATACAATTGGCGAGTCTAGCGGTGGGTGAGTGGTGAGATCCCAGGGGTGGTTTGGTTTGGGTTTGGGTGGGAAGGGGAGGAGGGTTTGGAGGCAAGCAGGCAAGGCAAGGCAAGGCAAGGCAAGGCAAGGCACGGCACGGCACGGCAAGTCTCTCCATTGACAGATACGAGCCCGCTTGTGAGTGGGCTGAGTGACTTTTGCGGGGCAGCTGCTGGAAGGACCACACTGGACTCTGGACTAAAGATTCCCAAGCGACACGCAAAGGGACCAAAGCAGTAGCAGTAGCAGTACCAGCAGCGCGCTTCAACTCGGATTCTTTGATTCCAGGTAAGACACAAGCGAAATGTGTGAGATTGAAGTTGTTTTGTAACTGTAAATATGAGAAGGAGTCCCCCCCCCGGTACTTTGCCACAGCGTGCGTAATGCGTGGATCGCCGCTACAGCATGCTTGAGTGAGTGGGCTGCTGAATGCCATATGCTTGTCTATATATCTGGTTTGCACTTTTTTTTTGCATCACGGTTGAACTAGAGCAAAACTTTAGAACGCGTAAAGATAGAAGTCCAAGACAAGTTCTAATCCATACATTCATAACAACGTGATTCCATACTGTCAATGCACTTTCTATTTCAGTTTTTTTTTGGCCATACTGTCATGCGCATTGGTCCTTGCTATACATTGACAATACTTTTGCTCCAGTGGAATTTTGGCGTTCCAAGGTGGATTTTTTTGTTTGTTTTTGGCGTGGGCACAGCAGTATTTGGGTTATGTTTTGGCTGCGCGCAGAGTAACCTAACCTGTATCCTCCAGGCGAAATCACGCTTGGCTTTTTATAGCTGCCTGCTAGACAGATTACAGACAACTACAGCTTGAACTAACAAACTTTGCACACCTGTGGGTACACTTCAGATGAGGCTGTGCAGAGAAAATTTTTATTTACAGAAGTGGAAGAGAAATAAAGAATGACTGCTGTGCCAACATAATAATGAATGCCTTTTGAATGAGCTGAGTCCTTGAGAATTGTCCTATGCGTAGTTGGCTGGATGTAAAATGAATGTCAATAACTTTCAAATTGTGGAGACTGAATTGTCAAATGCAAGCACCGGTTACCAATGCTCACCTCCCAGACAAGCCCCCTCCCCATTGGTTTACCTATTCTCCTCCAGCATCTCTTTTTGGGCAGTGGTCATGCCAGGGGAGGGACTAACTAATATATGAATTAACATTGGCACAGAGTCAGGAAGTCAAAACAATGTATTATTTTTTTTAAACTAAACACATTTGGAGTCACTCACATAACCAGATGTCTGACTACAAATTGCAAACCTACAAAAACTAGTCAACTATAATCTTAAATTATCATCATTAAGACTATTGGTTCTCCTAATTGTCAATCATTCTGGTTATATTGCTCGCCAAACAAGACTTCAAAAAAGTGGAGAGAGCGGTTCTTTCCTAAAATTTGGGAAAGTCCTCCTATATACCTTTTCAAAAACAAAGTACTCCACATATTTTGTCCCGGTCTGTCTTTTCTTCCTTCCGCATCTGGCTGTACTACT